TCTCTAAAAAAAAAAAATAAAATAAAGTGACCCCCTCTTTAAAGTGACCCCTTCCTCTTATGCATGAGATCTTGCCCCCTCACATCTGCTCGTGAATATGTGCTCCAGCAAGTCTCCCATTTTGTTTATATCATCATCTTTTCCCTCACTATAAAATCATTCCCACCCACGTGAAACTATGCTGTTATGTCTCTGATTCTAAAAACAAACAACCCTTCTTCCAGTTCCATCTAATGCCTCATCCCTTTATAGCAAAACCTCCTAAAAGAGTTGTCTAAAAAAGTCGCTCACATAATTTTTCTCTTCCTATTCTCTCTCTCAATCCATTTCAGACAAGTTTCTGCCTCTGACACTCCAAGGACACCAATATCCACTGTGTAACCAACAGGACGGTCAATCCTCAGCCCTCACTTTCTGATCCATCGCTGTATTTGCCATAGTGGCCACTCCTCTGTCCCTGAACCTTCTTTACTTGGCTTCCAGGACACCGAACTTTCCTGTTTTTCTTTCCTATTTTGGTGTCCTTTGCTGGTTCCTTTTCTTTCCCAGACCTGTGCCCTGGGAACTCTTCTAGATGCCATTTCCACTCATCCAATGACCTCATCTAGTGTCATAGCTTTAAGAAAAACTTTCTGCTGAGGACCTCCAAGTGTACAAAAGTAGCCCAGGCCCTTTCTTATAAGGCTGCTCATTTATCAAGCTACTCTCTGCTGCGTCTACTCAGATACCCAGCATGTGTCTCCAACAAAACACGTCTAGCACTGAATACCCGGTCTTCTCCAAAAACTTGCCTGCCTGCAGTCCTCTCCATTTCAGTTAAGGGTGATGCCATCTTTCCGGTGGCTCAGGCCAAACCTGGGACTCATCATTATCTTTTCTTTCTTTCATTACACATCTGGTCCACTGACAGAACTCCTGGCTCTAGTTTAGCATCTCCCATTACTTCCACCTTGTTCCAAGCCACCATCCATCCTCTCTTGTCTGGTTTGTGAGAATGGCCACCTGATTGGTCTCCTTGCTCCTACCCTGGACAGTTGAATTTTACACTATAGTCAGAGCGATCTTTTCCAAACCTAGAGTAATCCATTCTTCTGCTCAAGATTTTCTAATGACCCCTTTTTAATTCAGATTATGAGTAGAGGCCACACAGGATTGGGCCCCTGGTTACCTTTCTACTACTCTTATCCTGCTCTTCCCTCTCCAGCTACACCTGTCCCCTCCTCTTCCCTGGATAGGCCGGGCAAGCTCCAGCCTCAGCACCTTCACACTGCCCCTTCCCCCGCTCCATCTGCTCTTCCCCAACTTTCTCATCTCCTTGAACATGTCATTCCGATGCCGTCTTCACAGTAGGCATACCCTGACCACTGATTCACAATTGTACTCCCACTCTACTTTCCTAATCATTATTCTGTTCTGATTTTTCCCTATAAACCTTAAGACCTTCGAAAATACCATATACTTATGTGCATATTTATGTCTCTCTCCCCCCACTAAAATGTAAGCTCCACGGGGGGCAGGAATTTTTGTTCACTTATATGTTTTGGTCACCAGTGTATTCTCAGCCCCTAGAAGGCTGTGTGGCATATAGGTGGAGCTCACTAAAATCTTCTTGTGAATGAATGAAAAAATGAATGAATATTAAATGTTTCAAGTTCTCTGAATTGCTTAAAATTTAATTAGGATTATTTATAACGGATGTGATGGGTTATCATTCTTGTATTACTACAGAAAGGTAATCTGATTCCCAGATGGGTATTTCCAGACTCTGATGTGGTATCTAGAGATATCACTGGTAGTGGTTAGACAACTGGCCTTCTTATCTTTCAAGTCCTTTTAAGTAAAAAAGCCTTAACTGCTTTAGGCACAATGAACTTTACATTAATTATCTTTGGTTATATGCAGGGCAAAACGTTAGACTGCACTTTTGCATTTTATGACTCGGTTCATGAACACCTGTATGGAGGCTCTCAATAGCTGATTTCATGGGTAATATGAAAAGTCGAAATGCATTCAGAGAATACCACAAAGAATGACTTACTTGGTATACCCTATATAGCCATAGCCAGGATGCACATTTTGATCATGAACTCCAGATCCTTTTTAAGGCTACTATTGACTGACCTACTTATCCTTCCTACCAAAACCTGAGATGAGAACCTTGCTTTTTCCCGTGTAGAGAAATCAGATAGTAGTTGCATAAGAAGACTGGGCCTAGTTAAATACCAAGGAGATCCTGACTACAGGAGATGTGAATTTCAGGCTATTGTGGCTCCCATGTCAGGCTGCCAGAAACAGAAGGCTCAGGCATTGTTAACACATTTTAGAGCTTTGTTGATTATCTAAACTTAAGAGTTACAGGCTATTGTTTTGAAATTGTCACAAAATAAAATCTTTTACTTGATTTATATAAAAGTCTGCATAGAATCAGATAGACTCACAGTGGCACCTGTGAGTCTGTTCTCTCCGTGTGTATTCCTGTGCTCTGATTTCTGGGATCCCGGAAGGGTAAACATCACGCTGCTGCTTGAGCAGCAATGAGCAGAAGAGGCTAAATGTGTGGCAAAGAGTCAGTCTCCATTTAATTCCTGATCTTCAAAATGAAGAAAATAATACTTGGCCCCAATTAGACATGATGTAAAAACTGGAAAATATCCAAGTTAGGTGCCAACAGAGAAATATTTTACAAGCATGCATTTTCTGTATTTTATTATCTGGAGGGGGGAAAAAGTCAAACACAGCTTATGCTAAAACAGCTTTCATCATTCAACGAACCTGAAAGTGTTTGCATGTATTTCCCAGAACAATGTGCCAGTAAAAGCCCCAGGAGGAGCTAGATTCCCAATCATGACAAAAGCACATGAAAGACAACCACGAGAGCCCACCTTGTTGGTTTCGCTGGTCCCCTCTGTGGCTCCTTCCTCTGCTCTCTTGCTCTCTTCCTTCTCCTGAAGGTTTTCATTTTCATCCAGAAGTTTAACGGGGACAGGTGGTGGGGCTTCCTCTTCCAGATCGCAAGAATTTCCAAGAACAGTCTCTGCGTTAACGCTCTGTCGACACTTTTTGTTTCTGTCCACTGATGCATATTCAGCGAAGTCCGCTTCGGGGGCTTGGGGCCCAGGAAGCTCTTTCAGAGCGGAAGTCGACTTTGACCTGCTGCTGTGGCCCTTCCCTGGGTTCACGGCTGCTGCCACCTCCCTAATTTCTTTCACAGTTTCATACAAGCAGTCCTCCACCATATTTTCTTGGGAGGAACTATCCTTGAGCACTTCATACGGCCCTTCCGTCCCTAGGCCCTGGACCCCGTCCACGCTCCTCGCATTGAGCATCGTGTCCACTGCGCTGTCAGGGGGAATTCTGGGCAGTTCCCGGCTCTGATGACATTTTGGCTTCCCCGTGCTGTCCTGGGAGTCCAGCAGATCCGAAGCTGAGGTCTGGACCTCCTCATAATGTTGCATGGAGGTCAGAGTACTGTCTTCTGAAAGAACTAAAGCAGCAGAAGTATGAAAAATGGAGAAAGACAATTCCTTAAATAATTATTACAGTGAATGGATAATGCAAAGTTAAGTTAAATCAAGGTGCTTGCTTTTTATTTGACTCTAAACTGCACATTACAGACGATATGACTGTTGATATTTCAACCACAGCTGAAACTATGTAATAGCCAGCTATTACATCTTTCCAATACACACATTTAATAAACTGACTTGGCTATAAATTTGGTTCACAGTTACTTTCATTGCTTATTAATGGGATTGCTTATTGATGAGTTGCTTAAGAAGCAGTGTGTCTAATGTGACCAGAGGTCTGACTCCGTGAGAGGCTGGGCACCAAAAGGGGGGTGGAGACACGCAGGTGGCCACCCTCCCTGGCCTTACTGGCCGCCTCCCGTTTGGAGGGAATAACTGTAACCATCCCCCTTTCAATGGTCACTTTTGTTTGGCAGACATGATGGAAACACTGGGGCAAAAGTGTACCCTCAACCGCAAGTACAAAGGGACAGTATGCCCGTGCCTCTTCAAAGGTCTTCCTTCCATCTCGCCGCCCCTTCCCCTTACCATTTCTACCTCAAATCAGAAAATCAAATGTGAAATTCTTAGATTTCCACTGAAATGCACTGTGGGAAACCATTCAGTCATCCCTTTATCAAATGCTTACTGAGGGCCTACTATGTGCCAGAGACCATTAAAGTGCTGGAGATACATCAACAAAGCCTAGCCCTGCCCTTCTGATACTTAACATTGTAGCCAACAGTTATTAAATGACTGCTGCTCCATTTTATAGTCTTTATATATAAGTATGAAAAGTATAAGTACATACGTATAAATGTGTACTTAAATATATATCTACGTTCATGCATATATTTATCTTATATACTTTCTATATAATATATAGTCCTTACATATTATATATAGTCCTGCTATGTGTATGTATGTGTGTGTTTATAACAAGGTTTTTAATCTTTTTTTTTACTGACTAGACTGGGATTCTGTAAGACCCCTGGAGCCCAGGCCCGTGTCTAACCCAGTGGTAGGCACCACTATGTGTGTACTTAGTCATCCCAGAGGTGCAGATGAATGATCAGCTGACCCTGAGATGGGAGAGCAGCCTGAGTTACCCAGGGGGGCCCGATGTAATCATGAGGGTCCTTTTAAGTGACAGAGGAGGCGGGAGAGTTGGGGAGAGAGGGGGAGATGGAGGGAAAGGCTAGCAGTCAAGAAATGCAGGTGGCCTCAAGAAGCTGAAACGGGAAGGAAATGGATTCCCCCTAGAGCCTTGAGGAGGAAATGGAGCGCTGCTGGTACTCTTGACTTTAGGGCTGTGAGTGAATACATTTCTGTTGCTCTGCGGCACCACCGAGTTTGTGGTAACTGGCTGAAGCAGCAATGTGCCGCTGTTTCTTCACCGGTAAGTTGTAACAGGAGCTATCCTACAGGGAGTAATACTGCTACTAACAACAGTGATCTTACTGGGTAGTTGTAAGGATGAGTTAGGATACAAATCTTAGAGCAATGGCACAGAGAAACCAATTAATAAATACTAGCTTTTCATCCAAATGAGCTGTTCTGTGCTAAAACTGGTAGGAATACTAAGAGTGAGCAGGAACGCATTGCCTAGGTTTTGAGCTACGGATTTTGAAATGACTTCTGTCTCAGGTGACGAGGCCTGCGTGGAAAGCTGGTCCCTTCGCGGAACCTACCGTCGCCATTGGTGAGGATCCCGTTGTGCTCGCTGCCGGCAGGCGCGTCTGTGGCCAGGCTAGTTACCGAATGGCTGAACATCTCCTTGTCGGAAGGCTGCGAAGCAAACACACATGAGGCATCAATCAGGCTGTAGGCAGAGGACAGCAGCCCTGGCTTTGTCTAAAAATTAAAACAGCAACAACAGAAACCCAAATCCGCTTAAACTCAGTGATACCAAGCAACCGTGAGTTGCTCTGCCGTACTGGTCACATCTGGAGTGCCCAGCAGCAATCAGCGCCTGGTGGTCAGTGCATCGGATCACGTACAGAAACACGTCCGTCATGCTGCACCGCTCTACTGGACAGAGTTGTCCCGGACTCTCAGGACCCTGGGAATCTTCCAAGACCGTCTGCAGGGCTTTCTACCTGGTGCTCTGCAAGTGGGCTACAGGTAGGGCACGAGGGATCAGTCCCCTTAGCTCAAGGTGAAAAGGGGACCAAGAGCCCCGGTGCTGGTCAGAATTGACTCCAGCAGACAGCAGGTTCATTGTTTGTACCACAGGTGCTATAAGATGCTGTTCTTAAAGGCATGCCAGGCCAGGAAAAACATGCCACCTGAAGGGAAGATGAGAAGGTCATTGATTTCTGAGACTGTTTCATAAGCAGCCAGGTCTCTGCTTCAGGATTCACAAGAACAGCCATATGTTAACTAGCAGGTTTGCAAACTTATTGTCACAAAGTCAGGATGCCTGGAGGGAAGAAGAGCAGTGAAGGTTTTCCTCTTGGGCTCGAATGTGGAGATAGGACATGGAATAGGGCGCCAGGCTGAGCTACAGCTACACGTAGTCACGAAGGAAGTTGGTAGCTCACGGGTTTCTTTAAATGCCCAGCTGGTTCCCTGTGGCGGTCTGAATCACTGCTGATGCGACCTGTTCCCACATCCTTCTCACAGGAGACACAGCGTGCGTGACCTGGGACGCTGCACCTGGACCATGTGCCAGGAGTCCACATGGAAAGTTCTGATTTAAACAGCTCCAGAAGCTTGGCCAGTTGGCTTCCTAAATTCTCTAACTTCTTACTGGGAACCAAATAATCATAGCAAATAGCTCACGCTGTGTCATGAACCCTTCCTGCGAGTCTGCTGTGTCAGCGTAATGCTGCTCCTGACTGAAGAGTGCCAGGAGGTGGGTCATCACGTTAGGGTGCCAGGAATGTATGGTGCAGAGGCTCATAGCACAGAAGGGTCCCACCCGGACAGGAGTCAGGGGTGAAGGGGGAAGGCCTCAGGCAGGCTTATGACAGCATCACAACCTGCTGAAGTAGCATAATCGGTCTTGGCCACTACGTCTACTCTCAGCTTCCAGGACAGAGGGCCCGCAGGGGAGCCCGGAGTGAGCCTCCCTCTCTCTCTGAAGCCCCAGGTGCAGACTCCCGGACCCCCCGTGCCTCGGGATTGTTTTAGGCTAGAATTTAGTGGTGGCTCCTCTGGGGCTTAGGAGGGAGCTGGAATGTAGAAGAGCTGGGATTGGGGGGTGGGGGGCAGGGAAGCGAGGCTGACCGCAGTGGCTTCTTTGGCCTAAATGGCGAGTCTGCAAGTTGAACAAGATTTAGGAGCTGCGAGGGAAGCTCTTAAAGAGAGCCGGGTGGACAGGCTGTGTGCGTGAGCTCGCAACCAGTGCCCATGTGAACATGTGCGCTCTCGCGCTCTCGCGCGCACATCTGCATGAGAGAGGCTGTGGGGTTCTGAACGATATGGTACATGAGAGTCTCCGTCTTCCGTTCACCCGCCTGCCACTCTCTTCTGTCTCACCCAGGGCTGCTGCTGACCCGGGGTGGACAAGCAGGCGCTCGAGGTCTACCACGGGGCTCTCCAACGTGAGCCTCCAGCAGAATCACACAGCAGGGGGCTTGCCAGCAGTGCAGGCCACCCTTGAGAACTGCGGCTCTCGGGAAGGCCGCGGGATGGAGCACAGAGATGGAAGCCCTTCCTCCTGCCCTAACCTCACCTTCCATCTGGCGCGGAGGAGCACGGGGGGCGGTGAAGAAAGCCGGCGCCTGGGACCTACATGTGGGAGGAGCGACAGTAGAGCGGCCCCCCCCGCCGGCCCCCGATGCCACCACAGCAGTAGTCTGTGCCAACAGAGAGGCGCGGGGTGCAGCTGAGAAGTGGGGTTGACGACCAGAGGCGGTGCTGAGAACCCAGGACAGCAGTGGGTGAGGTGTGTGTGCGCGCGCACAGAAGAGGCGGCTAGGGAGCCCCGACAACTTCCTGTCTGCTGCTGGGGATCCACGAGTCCCGCCCATCCGTAGGGCGGGAGACTGGGAGTGGAGACCCCTCCTGGGGCTCTGCCTCTGTCTGCTGGCTGCATGTTTCACACCCGCTCCCCCAAAGCAGTTTTTCCCTGATCTTGAGAAACTCCGTCAGGGACTGGAAACACTTCTCTGTTTTCACACTGCCATGGGGCTCAAGCAAGACGGATGCCGTCTGCCCTGCCACTATGGGGTGGCCCCGTCGCCCCACTGCTAGAATTGCTCAGCCAGGTGAGGGCATGACCTGAGTGGAGAGAACAAGGCAGGACTGGGACGCTCAGGCTGCTCCTCACCAGGGGGGATCTGAGGGGCTTGACCAGCCGGTAAGAAAGGAGGGCCGGGGAAACCTAGCTGGGCCATATCTCCATAAGATGAGGTCACGTCGGAGTCCTTCTAAAACAGGGAAGCTTGCACAGAAACACGCAGAGAGGAGAGACCACGTGGAGAGACACAGGGAGAACAGCAGGTGACAGTGAAGGCACCCAGGAGCAGCAAAGATCGCAGGCAAGCCACCAGGAGCGAGAAGGGCCTGGAGCAGACTCGCCCTCCAAGCTCTCGGAAGAACCAGCCCTGCGGACACCTTGATCTCCATTTCTAGCCTCCAGAACTCCAAGACAATACATGTGTTGCTTAAGCCCCACAGTTTGTGGTCCTCTGTTACGCAGCCCTAGCAAACAGCTACAGGGCTGGAGCTGGGCAGAGGCGTCCCTGCGTCCCTGCAGTAGTAGGTAGGCTGGAGCTCTCGAAGGATCTCTCTGGCGGCAGCATGATTGTATCCATTTCAGAAACCCTCCCAACCAAGCCGGCTAATTGCACAGGCCTCTAGGCATGCTGAATAAGAATCCTACAGAGAGAGGGCACAGCCTCGGCGGCCAGCTAACTCTGCTGGGTTCTTTCCCTCTGTTTCCTTCAGCTCGGCAGCTTGTGGGCATAGTGCTTAGATAAGCGGCTGATGTTTTAAAACACACACAGACATGTGCACACGGGCTCACCACGGTCATCAGGTTCTCATGGTCCCCACTCTGCTGCCTCGGCTTCTTCTCTCTGAAATGGAAAAATAAAACATTGCTGTAATATGAAACATGCCATCTAAAATCAAACATACACTCCCCTTTCTATCCTAATATTTATCAACTTTTAAGTCTCTCTTTTAAGATCCTGGTTTATTTTGCCAAGGAAGCAAAAGCTGGACAGTGATTCTGTCACTCCTTTGCAGGCGTCGGGGTCTGAGGGGGTCAAGTCACAGCATGAGACCCGTCACCTCTCTGGCTCTCCCCTTTCTCCCAGAGTAGAAAATATAAGTTTACAACAAGAGGACTGAGGCACGTTCCTGAGTAGAAACTGTTCATATCTAGAATACTAGAAAGGATTTTGCCTTTTTTTTTTTTTAAAGAAAATGCAGACAATTCTCTACTGTTCATTTGTCTTAACTCAATCTTTGCTAAGTTGACTGCACACTGCCATGGGACTGGGAAAATAATGAAAGAAAATACAAATTTTGGCACGTCGGGAAGGATACATGCTCTCAGGATGAGTCATATGTACTTCCAGTCTATGGAAAAGTCCATCGAATAAAAATAGAATTTATTTTTACTCAGGACGGTCTAAAGAAAGCCATCAGTACTAGAGACTGCATTTCCCATGTATGTACGAGGCAACAGTGACACCTAGTGGGAGTGTAAATAATTACAGGCAGGCCCTCCCAAGGGCAGGGCAGCCAACTCTTCTGCCCGCCATCTTCCTGATCAGACTCAGACCCAGCTGCAGAGCCCAGGTCCACACTGGGCAGGGATGAGAAGGCTACTTGGTCCAGAGAATGTGACTTTACCCCTTTTGATAGAGACCTCAGGGTCTCTGCTGAAGTTACAGAGGAGGGTTTGGAAGAGGGCTGGCTGGTCTGCACCAACCCACCCGGAGCCTGCCGGTACCCTAACAGTGTTGGAGCACCTGGGAAATTACTTCCTGTTAGGAAGAATGTTGCTCCTGAGCAAAGATCTCTTTTGGGGGAGTACAGACACTTTATATGAGGGAGACATGGAGGGGTAGAGGAGAAGTGTAACTTTAAAAAAACACAAGATTATTTCTTATACAACTCATCTCTCTCATAGGAAAATTCATCTGTTTCTTAAGAAACAGTAGGTCCAGATTACCAATCTTTAATAAAATGATCCTTTCAAACCATGTAACAGCAATACTTAGCAGTAACTCTCAAAGGGCAGCAAAAAGAGTACCTTTAATACACATCAGACTTAGATTTCCCCATGTCCATAGATGTGAAAAGACAACATTCATTTCAACAAGGATGTGCTCAAAAGAATGGCAAGAATTTCGTTCTGGGAAGTTTTGTACGTGAGGCTTCTTCCAGTTGCACCTCAGCAGAATCAGATATGGATTTTCATTCAGCCTCAAAAAAGTGTCCTGGGATGCTAGCTGAGAAGTTAATTTTAACACAGGGGTTTCTGTGAATGTTTATGTAGTGGGATTCCTACATGCTTTTCACGTGAAGAATCTTCTGGGTACAGGGAATGGGTTATTTTAGGGTTCCAGTGGATACACCTTGGCTCTCACCTGTCACAACTGGAGCACAGAAAAACGAGGAAGCTGATGAGGAAGAAAGTGGCGACAGCGGCCAAACTGCCCCACAGGACCACCTGCACTTGCCCGCTGCTCAGCATGCTCCCCGGGGGTCCCATGGTGGGAGCAGGAAGTGGCACGAGCTGATGGAGTCCGTCAGTCCTGCAGACGGGGGAACATGGGCGCGGGGTGCTTCGTCCTGCAGAGAGACCAGTGTGTTTTGAAACAACTTCTCACGTGAAGTGACAGAGTCTTGTAACGAGTGCGTGTCAGGAGGAAGGCTCTGAGCAGAGTCAGGGAGGTGTGTGCGGGACGTGCTGGGCTCGCCTGGACACCTGCCTCTGGCCAAGTCCCCTCTGTTGTCTAGGCCTTTGTTTTCCTCACCTAGAAATGTATAGAGTGGGAATGCTCAGTGTTTGAGGCAATGGGAAGCTTATTTTGATATGTTTGGGGATAGATTCTTAAGGTCTTCAAATAAAATAAGATCCCATGTATTCTATGGCAAATAAATGCTTATTTGGATTTTTTTTTTCCAGAGCAGTGTAAAGTATTTATTACAGCTTTCAAAAAATGCAGTTCACATCTTCCCCACCTATCTTCCTAGCTCCCAAACCTACCTCTCTTTGAGAAGATTGAAGGCTGGTCCAATTAATGAAAGAGAATGTCTTTATATTCACCTTCAGAAGTGATCTATTGTGACTTTGTGACTATTTTCAGGGCCAGCTTTCACTGAGCTTCTGTGAGCACTCCATAAGTACATTTTCAAATGAACAGATGAAAGTATGTGCTAAGAATACATCACCAGAAGCAAATAAGACCTATTTATTAAAAAGTACAAATTAAGCATAACAGCTGTACCTAGTACATTTTAGTACCTGGCATGTCCTGGGACTCTTGCTAAATGCTTTCCTCATTTAATTACTGCTACCAGCCTGTGAAGAAGGCCCGGCTCGTCCCCATTTTTCAGACAAGAAAGTTGAATGGCAGAGACATTAATAATGTTCTCCCAAGATGTCACAGATGCTAAGTGGCAGGGTAAAGATGTGAGTCCAGTCATTTCTGACTCCAAAACTGTCGTCTTAGCCCTTAGAGGAAACTCCCTCTGTGTGGGGGCTACTGCGTGCTCCCTGTTCCAGCGACAAATCTTCTAAATGAAAATGGTCACCTCGGTTCTGTGAAATATCTTAAGAGTTACAGATTTTGAAAAATTGAGCAGTATATTAAAAATTAATGATTATCCTGGGAGATACAGGCTTCCAGTTATGGGATGAATAAGTCACAGGAATAAAAGGCAGAGCATAGGGAATACAGTCAGTGGTACTGTAATAACGTCTGGTGACGGATGGTAGCCACATTTCTGTGAGCAGAGCATAACCTATGGAGAAGCTGAATCACTGCGTTGTACACCTGAAACTAATGTAACATTGTGTGTCAACTAGATTGAAAAAAATTTTTTTTAAATTAACAATTATCTCTTGTCAGAGGCCTTGTTTAAAGAACATTTACTCTGCTCCATTCTAGAATATTCTAACTTAAAAGGAACAGCCTTTAACTTAATCTCAAGTTTCATGAATAAAGTAAATTATTATCTTAATTAGAACTCAAAAAATTTTTTTCCTTGTAGGAGACTGTCCATATCTACATTGTCATTTGCTTCCCCTGAAGAGCTGTGAGTACGTTTCGGGAGCACCGCCCTGTGTGCATCAGGCCAGCACCTGGACGGCTTAGTGCCACACGGGAGCGGCCCTTGAAAGCACTTGGAAAATAAAAGCCATTTTGGCAAAGGCGGTTCAACTGGACCAAATTTTCTCCAAGGGAAATACATACATTTATTTGAATATTTAAGATCGAAGAATAATCAAAAGCTGGAGAAAAGAAACTTTTATCCACAATGTATGCAGAGAGTATTCTAGATGAAGTCCATGTTTTCCTTAGGTCCCTGAATCAACACGAACACTCCCTAATGCTCTGTAAATATATAAACGTACAACTTCCTGTGTAATACAGAACGTCTTTCTGCCGGTGCTGGTTATATATTATGCCTGTAAACAATACACGCATACAGTAATGGATGGTCAAATTGCTTCTGTGTGTTTGCCCCTGGACAGCTGTAACTGAATGAAAATAACCACCGCTTCTCTTGTGGTTTGTTGAAGCAATGAATAATTCACTTTAAATTTAGACTACAAATTGGCACCACAATCAGTTACTAAAATATATTCAAGCAAGCACATAAACCATGGCGACCTATGAATATATATGAAATAAATTTTTACATACAGGCCCAAAGCATAACACATTTTAGGAAACACAAACAAAAGAGATCTGTTGTGCAGGCATTTGCGTGTTCCCTCCTTCGTTCACTCATTCACTCATACAACAGATTTAATCAATGTCTATTTATAAAGTGTCAGATTCCTAGAAAATAGTTTGCTGTGTGAATTATTCAAAAGCCAGATATCCATCCAGCAAGCTAGTGTGGAATCTGTAGGACCTTCCTCCATTTCTGTACATGCTTCTCGTCTCGTCTCTCTCTCTCTCTCTCTCTCTCAACGGGGAAGGCGGGTAGAATACAATGAAGTATGTGGGGTGCCCAGCCTATCGCAACAGTGTAGGGAGAGAGAGGATGAAGGTGGATTATTACGAGCTATTGAATAAAAGATCTAACTCAAGGGAAAATGTGTCAAAGCTCCTGGCTCACTCCCCTTCAACTAAAATTTGTTGAAAAGCTACCAAAAGAACTACTTTTTTCCTGGACAAGGAAGAGCATGATCATCATCGTGTTTCTGAGACAGCTACGTTGTAATCCCGAAGGACAAGGGCTCCTGTGGTCTGGGCAGCTTCCACCCGTCAGAAGCCTCAGAGTGACGCTCCACAGGAAGCCCAGGTCCCAGCAGTGGGCAGTGCAGCAAAAGCGGTGCCCCCTTTACGGGCCTGCCTGAGATCGGGGGGTTTGCACACACTCACAGCAGATCTGGGGCGGGGCCATTCCTATTGTCGAGAAAGTCTGCGCCAGTTGTTATCCTCTCTTGGTCTCTTCCTTTGTCTGGACTTCTGCTTCTGAATTCTCTTGCCCATTCCTTCTCTGATCCTCTCCTTCCATTTTGGGGTCTTATCTACAATTAAGTAGGACTCTGTGTCCAGACGGACCACTCCCTACCCCCCCATGTGTGCAGATGCACATATGACTTCTATGCTCTTTTTTCTTGCTGGGGATGAAAGTACAGGCCTAGTGTGGATGGTCCGGGGTTGGCCTTTCCCTCCAAGACTAGACTTCATGTGTTGGTTTCACTGAGGTTAAACGCAGTGCTCAGGGGCCAAGTTAATGTGTTCTGAGCAGTAGGGGATCGGTGTCTTTCCCTCTGGCTGGAAGGCTTCTATCAGGACTAGCAATAGCAGGATAGAATAAGAGGACAAGAGGCACAGTGTTTGGGAAGTAAAAAGTCACCCCGAAAAGGAAGGGCTCCTGCCACAATGATGACATTTGCCGGACCATACACTGTGCCCCTTTACCAACCACGTTCCATGTGGAAAAGAGAATCGAAGGCTCCAAAGTCTGTGATACTGTTCCTGAGGACCATCTTATTTTCTGGTTATGTGTGTATCAAGTACGGTATTTTCTGAGTATCCAGAATTAATCTGTAGCAGCAGGACAATTTGGACACCATGAACAATTTGGAGCCGTCTCTCATTGTTTTTATATGGAGACATTTAAGCCTCTTTCTTTCAATCCTGTTCTTACCTGACTCAATAAAATTGCGTTCAACTGTGGAATATTAGTTCTTTGAAGTTTGAAAAATATTTCATTGTCAGACCACATGTGTAAATATTCTAGGAGTTACTCAACATAGGGAAAAGGAACACCATTCATTGTACCTCAGCTAACACTTATTAGGGCACCCAAATGCCCTACTAAGTTGAGTTGAAGATCATCATATTCATGAAAGATTAATAGTTGCATATCAATTATTTTTGTTTTAGAATAGACCTCATTATTGGCTGCACTGATGTACATTCACAGCTGAGACTGTCACTTAATACAATGTGTGATATTGTAAAATAGACAATCCCCGCACCCCAATTTTATATGATTCAGACTATTGTGGGGACTTGTCATTTCGCCGTGAGAAAGGTCAGGACTTGAGGTTACAGAACTTCTGTTGGGGATTCTCTGATAGGATCTGAAAAGCTGGTCTGAATAATTACTTTGGACAAAATTATTTTGCTCCATAGTCTCTTATATACATTCATGTTCTTAATACGTGATTTCAATGTTAGAAAAAACGACGGCCTTTCACTTTAAAAGCAGGTGCCACTATTAACCACAAGGTGTCAGTATAACACTAGTCTCAGCCCCAGTCATCAGCCTCTTCAGGGAGAGACAGTTCTGCTGTTTGTGCTTTGTGCTAGGTATTTTGTCTTCATTAGCTAGTAGACTATCAGCCACCTAAATCAATTCCAACAGGAAAGAAAACAGAAAACAAAAACCAGATGAAATTAATGAAAGGTGACGACCAAATGACAGCTCCTTGGTTTTTTAACTCTCTTAACTGGTAGGCGCTCTGATCACAGCAAACTGTGTAAGTAACAATTTGGTAGGGTTGGGATGGCCAGAGAGATTAGCAATAGAAGCAGACACTTTAATTCCTCTGAAGCAGGCTTCGGTTGGTAATGACAGTCATTACCATTTTATAGCTGTTCTAGTCAACTCATAATTAAACATGATAGAAACCACACCGCTCATGACCCCTCACTGAAAGACATAATGAGGAGGTCAGGACACAACCCCATGGGAATTCCTCCTTCCTGGTCATTACCAGGTGTGGGAACCATGAGGTAAAATGACGCTTTATGAGCTACAGATCAGCCAAACAAATTTAACGATAGCTGAGGAGCCAAATTCTCTGCTGGGCTCCTGTCCTGTGAGGCACAAGGGCAGATGCACAGGCTAAGGCTAAATTAACCTCTCCATACAATTCTCATCCCCTGAAAGAGTTTTAAGCTCAAGTATTTAAATTCAGGTAGATTTCTCTTCAGATTAAAGAGACTCTGATACAGGCAAGCTGCTAAGCTGTACTCTGGATGAATGTTAACCGGGTCTGCTCTAAGCATGGGGAGCCACCTAAACCAATGTTGGTCATCCATCTTGCTAAGGCACAAAGGTTCTCTGCCACATAAGCTCATCACAAAGA